AGAGGGGGGAGAGGGGGGAGAGGGGAGAGAGGAGAGAAGAGAGAAGAGAGAGAGAGAGAGGTGGGGTGGGGGTGGTAGGAGGTGAGAGGCCAGAGATGTGAGGAAAGGAGCTAGACTGTGTAGGGCCCTGTGAAGGTGTTGGCTTTTAATCTGAGTGAGATGGGAGTCCTGGCAGAGCTCTGGGCACAGGAGGACGGTGTCCTGACTTAGGATTTAATGGGATCCCTCCTAATGCGGTGAATAGAACAGAACAGGAATGGGGATGGAAGTCTGTTAAGATGTCCAGGGAAGAAGACAGTGAGAAGAGGGGAGATGACAGTGAGAAGTGGGAAGATTACGGATATATTTTGAAGGTAGAGCCAACAGGAGTTTTTGATGAATTAGATGTGGGATGGGTAATAAACTCCTCCCTGCCCTTTCCATCCTGTCCAAGTGCCAGAAACGACCTCCACCCCTGTGTTGCCACTTCCTTGCCTTTCCCCTCTCACGCAATCCCCCTGCCTCTTCTCCCCAACTTCCCCCAACATATATGAGAGAAACCTCACTTCTCTTTTCAGGTCCAGAAAGAAGGCCAGCAAGTCTTTCCAATGCCCCCGCCCCGCCCCTTTTCCTTCTTTGAAATTCCACACCACCTCCCTCACCTTGAGAGTTGGGGAGAGGTGGCAGATCTATCACCCCCTTCCAGATTGGTGAGCTTGTCTGACCTTCATGACCCAAGCCTGTTTACCCACACCATCTATTGGTATTATCATAACCTACTGGCTTGTTAATCACTCCTCTTCCCTCCACCGGAGGCTCCGCTGATTCTGCACTACGCCAAGTCCCTTCCCTCAGAGCCGCACTTTTACCTCTCTCATTGGCTCTTCATTCTGCTCGTCTTCAAGCACCCTACTCTTGCTCTCCATTCATTGGATAGGTTTTCGCTCTTAGCATGGTAGCTCCGCCTCCCTACTGGCTGCAAACTCCAGCGGCTCATATTTACTCCAGATTCTTATTGGTTCACTGACCCGCCCATCTCCTTTCAGGTACCCTCCTTGGCCACACCGCCCGCCCATCACTCACCAGACTACATCTGATTGGAGAAGGAGGTGGGCGCACCCTGAGGGCCATAGCCTTGCTGCCCGTAGTCGCCCTGAGGGCCGTAGCCACCGCCACCGCCGCCGGCTGGCTGCCCGTAGTCGGGCTGGTAGCCGCCCTGGGGCCCGTAGGAGTCCTGAGGCCCGTACCCGCCGGGGCCCTGCCCGTAGCCTGCCTCGCCGTAGGCGTCCCCGGGCGCCGGTTGTTTCTCGGGGGCTCCGGGAGGCGCGCGCATGAATGGGGCGGCCCACCCTGTCTCCTTGAACACGAACCACAGGTTGCCGACCCAGAGCACCAGGTTCAGGAAGCCAAACACCTGCGGGGAGAAAAAGCCCGGCTGTCGTCCCGCGCCCAATACCTTGGCGGCCCCGGGGATCGTTGAGGCCGCGCGCGTTGGGCATGGATCTGCGGGCTCCGGAAGGGTGGTGGTTTCTGAAACCCGGACCCTCTGAGTCCCGGCTCATGAACATCAAAATGCAGAAAAATCACCTTGGGTGGGGAGGGGCAGCGAATGTTAGAATTCAGATTCCCGAGGATGTTGAGATGTAGTAATATTACATATATGTGTTTATATATTGCTCATCTACATGTTACATATACACGTTTATACATGTATAAAATATAGTAAGCAAATGTAAAGTTTTAATATAATAAAATGTTAAGCATAACTGATTAAATATGTAAAATATGCAACTAATAGATGCATAAGTACACATGTGTATACACAAATATGTGTAACGACACATGTATGAAGTCTATATATACTTTGAAAACATTCATGTTTTATAAACACAAAAATATGTTTTATATGTATCTATAATAAATATATACAATATAATTCAATTTGGGGACAGGAGCTAATATCTCCACTTTACGGTTGAGGGAACTGAGGCCCAGAGAGGCTAAGTTGCCTACGGTCTCAGCCAGCAAGTAACTCAGGCAGAAAGAGTTGTACTCTTGACATCTATAACGTTTGTATATGACTTACCATATGCCAAGCCCTTTTCTAAGCACTTTATATGTTATTAGCTCACTAAATACTCAGCTTTGGAACAGGACCTATTCTAAGTTTTCAATTTACATGCTCAAACTGAAGCATGAAAGGCTGACTAACTAACTAGTTTCAGGTCACAGAGCTTCCAAGTGGCAAAGCTGGGATTTGAGCTCAGAGAGACTCCTGCCAGTAGGGGGAGTCCAGGTGGGAAATATTTCAAGTTGCTTATTTTGCATATATGGAGAGGGTACTGAGTTGCCAGAGATTTTACATGACTAGGCTGGGCCTGGGATCCAGGTCTCTCAAACTTAATTAGACAGAAGATCTCATGTTCTCTTGGGGGCAGTCTGTGGTGTCACAGTGGTTACAGTTGCTATCGAATCCTTCAAGGCACTGTTGTTGGCATGCCTTCTCCGGGAAGCCCTCTTGGATTTTTTCTGAGTTATTCTCTCATTCTCTCTCCACAATTCCCCATGCTGGACTGCAAGTGACCCGGTTCTCCTCCCCACCCAGCCCAGCCAGCTTCCCAGGGCTTACCACCGAGGTATTGAGGCCAGAGGTCACAGGGTCTCTTATCTCCTTGCATGTATTCTCCTTCTGGTGGCAGCTAGGTATCCCCTTGATAATGGTCTCTGGGTCTGTGGCCATCTTCACATCTGACAGCCCCTTAGCCCATGCCGATGAGCTAACCAGCCACATGAAGGCAAACACTGCCGTGGCCAGGAAGTCCTAGGATGGACAGGGGAGAGGAAGATGGCCTTGTGAGTGGGCTGCTTCATGCTGGGCTGTGGGGCCTCCTCAGATCACAGGCATTCTTGTTAGCGGGGGTCCCCCAGAAGAGGTCTGTCTCTCCCCTGCCTTTTCCCCAACATTCACTTGAAGGCGGCCCTCCTAGCTTGGGCTTGTGCGTGTGTACGTGACACAGAAGATGTGGGAGTATAATTGTGATATGTGGGTGAGAGTGGGGGGGGATTCTGTAGGATGGTTGCTGAATCTGTGGAAAGTAATGTGTCTTTCCACTTTCGTCTGAATGTGGGAATATGTGTCATTTTGTGTCTGGGATGAGGGTGCATGAATACAGCTGTGTAGGAATCAGTGTGTCTGTGTGGCACGACCAGCGTGACTGTCACAGTGAACCTCTGTGTGCTCCTTCCTTTGATCTATACTGTGTGCTTGTGTGAGAGGTGGCAGGTTTCCAGTTAGTAGGCCTGTCTGGGATTCTGTGTGGGCTAAAACTGTGTCCCTGTCACTCTATGATTTGGTGTTCCTAACACTCATAGCAACAGCAGCAGCAGCAGTAACATGTGTGGCTATTATGGTGGCTGCTTGCATGTGGGCCTGTCCAGGATTTGGTGTGGCCTATGAACATGGCTGTTTCCCCAAGGCTCCATGCTCCCAAGCTCCTGCATGCAAGTGGCTGTGGGGGCTCACCAGCATGGGCCCTTTGTTGTTCTCTCGGTACTTGTTCTGCAGAAAGATGTAGGTGGCCAGAGCCCCCATGGAGTAGAGGAAGGCAAACACCGCCACAGTGACAAAGAATTCCGCCGATGAGGAGTAGTCCCCCAGTAGGAAGACTTTGGAAGTGCCCCCTCTGCAGTCGGGTGCATCAAAGTACACTTGGTGCAGCCTGCAGAAAGAGGTGGGCAGGTGTGGCCCAGGCCCTAAGAACCCCCTTCCCCCTGCCCAGTCATGAGTCCCCCAGATTGACAAGGTCCCAGGAAGAGGAGGAAATAACCATCCACAGAGCACCTACTGTGTACCAGTCACATTTCATTGATTGCTCATAGCATCCCCATGAAATAAGTCTTACTCATCCCTCACTCCCACCCAGGCACCTTGGGCCTCTTGGTTATTCGTGGAACATACCAGGCACTCTCCCACCTCAGGGTCTTTGCACTGGAATGTTCTTTTAGATATCCTTATGTCTTACTCTCTTCATCTCCTCCAAGCTTTGCTCAACTGTCCTCTTCTCCGTGAGGCCTTCCCTGATCTTACTATTGAAAATTAAATTCAACCATTCCCTTTCAGTACTCCTTAGTCCCCTCCCGTGCTCCATTTTTCACTATAGCAATGATACCCCATCTGACATACCATTTTTTCTTGATTTTTGCTGATATTTCTTGATTTTTAGATAGCAACTGTAACCACTGTGACAACAGAGAAGGCAGAGCCTTTCTCTGTTTTGTTCACTGTGGTTTTCTAGGGCCTGAAACAGTGCTGCTGCATTGGAGATGCTCAATGTTTTTTTAAGTGAAATGTAGGCTCAGTGAAGTGCATTACCTTGCTCAAAGTTACTCAGCTGGCAAGGGAATGGCGGAGTTGGGATCTGAACCCGGTTTTCCCCCTACATATTGACTCTTCTTCCCATCCTACTTCAGGTCCCCAAGAGGAGGAAATGCATGCATAGTAGTGGAGAGCCCAGAGACTACAAAATAGGAAGAGACAGACAGGAGGATAGACGGGATCCTGGAACAGGATGTGTGTATATGGGGGGGAGGGTCAGATTGGGAAGGCACGGGGCTAAGGCCTTTCCCGTGTGATGGAGCGGTCATAGGGAGACAATGTGTGTGGGGAGGACTGGGATGGGGTCCCCGAGCTCTCACCTCAGATTGGGGGGCAGGATCCTGAGACTGAGCAGATGGTGCCAGTGCCCTTGTGTAGCAAAGGTCCTGAGGCTTATGCTTATTGATCCCCTACTAACTACTTTATACAATTTCCTCATTTAATGACCCTCTCACCCACAATTCTCTAAAGCAGGTATTATTATACCCATTTTATAGATGAACAGAGGCTCAGCAAGTTTATTTGCTTAAGGTTGTGTAGCTGCTAAATGTTGGAGCTAAGAGTTAAATCTGGGTTTGAGTTTCTGGGTTTCTAGAGTGTGCTGGGTTAGAAATGGGGTATCCCAGGGGGGTAATACAAGGCCCTTGGGAGGTATTGGGGCAGTGGGTGGAGTTGTCAGGGGGACCCAGAGCACAGACATTTCCTGGGAGTAAAGGTCAGATCCTCAGGGCATTGAGGTGTTGGCAGGGCATCCACAGATTTTTTTGTGGTCTTCTGGATTCCCAAAGGGCCTGCTCTCAGAAGTAGCCCATGCTGCCAACTCCCCCTCCTCTCCTTCCTCAAACCCTGTTCCCTGGCTTCTGTGAGCCTATGGATCCTTGGTTGCTTCCCTGCTTCTCAGGCCTCCTGGCACGTCCTTTTCTTTCAACCGTTGATCAGGGTCTATGCTGGGCTTTCCTCTCGTCACTCTGCCCTCTCACTCTGGGTGACCTCCTGAGCCTCCATTGACTCTTAGTGCTCAAAATCCTCCCAATTTCCAACTCAATTAGTGACCTCTTTCCTGAGTCCCTCAAACTTGTTTATTTTCTTTATGTTAACACTTATGGAGCACTTATTGTGTGCCCAGCCCTGCGCTAAACACTTTACAAGTATTAATTCCTTTAATTTTCATCATAGCCCTGTAAGGCGAGTATTATTACCCCATTTTACAGATGAGGAAATTGAGATCCGGAGCAGTTATGTGATTTGTCCAAGTAGTGGAGGAGCCTTAGAAGCCTCTATTGAAATTTTGTCTGTGGATCTCTGTCTTCCCACCCTCCAGGAGGTAAGCATCTCTTTGAGGGCAGTGACCTTGCCTGCTTCTGCTCACTCTCATGTACCTAACACCCAGCACAAAGTATGAGCACAAGAAATATCAGAATTGTTTAATTGGCTTTAATCATTCCCTATAGCTAAACAGCACCCCCTCATTATTTTCTATCATAAAACCCTGTATGAGGATGCTCTCCATGAATTTCTCCCAATCTGCAATTGTCCTCTTTATTAATTATTTTTTTATAATGTTGGCTCCATGAGGGTAGGGAACTTGGTCTATTTTGTTCACTGTTATGTCCCCAGCACTTTGAGCAATCCCTGGCATACAACAGATTTTCAAACAATGTGTGTGGAATGAATGAATGGGAATGAATTAATAATATCAGCTAACATTTGTTGAGTACCTACTGTATTAAGGCTATATCTACTTATATAATTTTACTTGTGAACCTTGTTTATTGCCCATCTCCTGCCCCTCCCTTCACTAGACAATAGCCAGAGGGCAACAGCCTATGCCTGCCTCGCTCATCACATGTCCTAGATGTCCAGAGCAGTGTCAGGCACAAAGTAGGTGCTCAGTGCATGTGCTGTGACCCGAATGGGTGTGGTCTCCTGAGATGGGGGCTAGGCAGGGGCCACGGAGGCAGAGGTGTTGGCACGTCCCACCCTAGCCCGCCCTCTCCCAGCAGCGGGCTAGGGTGGGGGCACACCTGAAGGGGTACTCGAATTCGACCTTGATGCTGAGGTTACTGTGGGTCTTGTTGGCACAAATCACGCTCAGCTGGAGCTCCCCACTGTAACTGCCGCATGTGGCAAAGGCGAAGATGGCGAAGACCTTGGGCAGCAGGAATGGGAATGGCCATGGTGAGCCTGTGTGCATGTGGGATGGGGGTGCCCTCCTCTGGACTTATCAGGGCCCAGCACAGGCAGCAGCAGATGGACCAGTCCCCACCCCCACCCCATAATCAGGGCTCATGGAGGCCAAGGACAAGCTGATTACAGGGGTGTGGCTATCTCTTACTGTCTCTCTCTTTCTCTACCTCTCAATGCTCTGACCCCCTCCTTTTCTCTCTTCTGTCTCAGTCTCTCTATTTCTAAGTCTCTCCGCATTTTTGTCAGTCTCTGTTGTTCTCTATTGTTTCTATTTCTCTCGGTATCTCTCTGTCTCTGTCTCTTTATGTGTCTGTCTTTCTCAGATGTCTCTCCATATCTCTGTTTCTTTCTGCCTCTCTGGTATCTCTGTGTGTCTCTTTCTGGCTCTTTTTTTCTCTGTCTCTTTCTGTGTGAATGTATGTCTCTCTCTATGTCTTTCTACTTTTCAGTCTGTCTGTTTCTATCTCCCTGCTCTGTCTCTTACTTGGTCTCTGTATGGTGCTCTTTCTGTCTCCCTCATGCCTCCCTTTCTCTGTGTATCAGTTTCTCTTTTTCTCTTTTTCCTGAGTGTCTCTTTTTTCTCTGTCTCTTTCTCTCCCCAACCCCATTTTTCTGCCTCTTATCCTGCATCGATTTCTCTTTGCACCTCTGTTCTCTGTGCATCTTTCCCTCTCCCTTTTCTTTGTCTCTTTCTGTTTGTCTTTGCTCTCTCATATCTCTGTATGTCTTTTTTCTTGGTATTTCCATCTCTGTCCCCATCATTCCCTGTCTCTCATTCTGTCTTTTTCACTGTCTCTGGTTTTCTCCTGGCTTTGCGTCTCTCCCGCAGCAACCAGCTTCAGGCTCCACCTCCCCTGCCTCTCTCTCACCTCAGGAGAGGAGGTAGGACGTCACAATCTTCCACTTCACAACGGGAGTACCCTTGGCCTTATGTGACTATCACTTCACAGCCCACCCATTCTCTGGCCCCAAACCCCTGGGACTTCATCCTTGGAGCCCCTTCCACCCCAACCCACCCATTCATACCTCGCTCCCCACCCCTACTTTGCCCCTGCTCTTCCGGACCCCACTACCTCCCTCCTTTTCTCTCCCCATGGCCCAGACCACACTCACCCATTGCAGCACCTTCACGAAGCCAAGGGGCTCCTTGACCACTCGGAACTGACCCCCGGCCACCAGCTGAAGAGAAAATCAGTGGGGAGGGGATGGGGTTGTTGGGGATGGAAGCAGAGGTGAGGGGCAAGGCCACCAGGCGATGCCCCCTGTGGATAGGGCATGTGACCTCCAGGAGGGAGTGACGACGTTTGTTTGGAGAGGGGATGAGAAAGAGAAAGTGACACTTCGGGGAAGGTGTGGGCACAGGGTCTCTGATAGAAGATCCCTGGGGTTCAGAACTGGTGGAGAGGTCTGGGGAGATGGTGAGATAGATGGCAGAGGGGGTCAGGGGTGCGGAAGATGGGGGTGGAGTCAGGATGAGTTAGGGAAGGAGAGATCTGAAATGGTAAAGGTGAGTCAGATGACGAAGGGGATCGGGTGGATAGAGTGAGAAATGAGTCGGGGTTCATTAGGGTGGGGGAAGGGGTCTTGAGTGGTGAAGGTGAGTCATAACAGTGAGAGAGTCAGGTTGGCTAGGGTGGGGGAGGGGTCTGCAGCTGTAAACGTGAGTCAGATGGTGGTGATGGAGGGGGTCTGAGGTCATAAGGATGAGGAGGGGTTGGTACTGATTAGAGAGGGAGTGAGGTTTTGAGGTGGTAAAGAGTGAGATGGCAGAGAGGGTCTGAGCTGATTAAGGTGGGGGAGGGCTGGGACATGGCTTCACTGGATATGTGCTGGGGGAGGAAAGACTAGGGGTTTTGGGGAGACAAAACCGGATCGACCCCCTTGGTCTGCCTTGGGGGAAGGGGTGGTCGTCTACTGGGGTACCGTCTGTGTTTGGAGGAACGGGTGTCAGCTCTCCCCCCACCTCCGCCCTTATGCCTTCTGTCGCTCTGTTTCCTAGCTCATCCTCAGCACCCTCCATCTTCCTTCCACTCTCCCCTCCTCCCCCTTTGCCCATACCCTATCCCCAAGACCCCTTCTTCCACCCTTCGCGGTCTCCTGTAAGGAACCGGGCTTCTGGGGGCCCCCGCTGCGGCAGTGAGAATGGCCCTCGCTGCGGCAAAGGATGCACTCCTTTTCTCCACCTCCCCCTTCCCTGATCTGCCGCAGACCCCAGCCCCAGCGTCGGGGACCGGGTGTCCGCTGCCAGGACCCTGACCACCACCTCTCAGAGTCGGCGGATCCGCTGCGACCCGGGCGGGGAGGCTGGGCAGCAGCGGGCTCTGTCCGCGGTGCTGGAACGCGTACCTGATTCACCACGTCCATGTCGGCCAGCAGCAGCATCAGCAATGCGGGGGGCGGGAGGAGCCTGCTAGCAAGGGCGGGCGCGGCGGCGGGGGGAGCGCTCGATCATCAGAACAGCCCAGACGGCCGCAGCTCCGCCCCTCGCGCCCCCACCTCTCTGGCCGCGCACGCCTGCGCACAGAGGCAGTTTCTAAGTTGCTGGCGGCCATTCCAGCCCGGAGGCTGGAGGCATGAGAACATTCTAGGAAGATAGTTCTCTTTGAAAACACGGCTAGATGTTTGGGGAGAGGAGGATCGTTCAGCCCTACAGTATTACTTTTTGCCAGGCCCTTTACTGAGTTTGTTAAATGTGTTCACTCATTTAATCCTTACAACAGCCTTATGTGGTAGGACTATTAATTAGCTACACTTTTATAGATGAGAAAAAATGAGTCCCCACAAAGGTTAAGTGATTTGCACAAGGTCGCGCAGCTAGTAGCTGGCAGTGTCCAAAGTCCCTGTAATTTAAACATAGTTCAGGGTCTTGAGGGTTTCTTCTCATCTGCATTTAAGCACATCTTAAAGCCCCTCTCTTCCCCTTCTAACCATCTCCCCTATTTCTCTTCTTGCCTATTCCAACTCTGCACTTTACATCTTGTTTATTCCTCAACCCTCTCTTAATTGGATTAACCCTTCTTCGTGCTATGAAAACTGGGCCCACCAAGATCAATGGTGATTGCCACATTGTAAAAATCCAGTGACTAAACACAATTGGAATTTAAGATGCTCAACCTCACTCATACTGAAAGAAATGCCTATAAAAACTACTTAGGGGCCGGCCGAGTGGCGTGTTGGTTAAGAACTGGCTTGGGACGCCAGAGGGCCCCGGTTCGGATCCCACATATGAGGGCCAGTGACACTGCCCTCTACAGCTAAGATGCTGAACA